GGGTGCTCGGGGAGGCATGGAAATAGGGAGCTCAGCATCTCCATCCCATGTGCTGCGCATCTTTCGGGAAGAGCCGGCAATCCCGAATTCCGAGTTCCCCGTCCCGTTGGCTGCACTTTTCCAAGTTATTGTTGGTAAATGGTGGGGAACTGTCCGTCAGCAGCCCCGGGAACCGCACGTGGGACAAAGGCAGCCGCTGGAGTGTGGTGGCTGCTGTGAATAGAGGGAGGGAAGGCAATTAGCTGCCGTGTTGTTGGGGCTTTTTACTTGTCAAACTGGAGCCTCGTTGCTTTTGTTATTGCCGTGTAAAGGGAAATCGTGGGGTTTTGTTTTGGTATTAAGGGCCTTAGAGGTTGCTGGCTGACACTGCACACGCGAAGGCCAGAGCAGCGCAGGGAGAGGACCAGGGACGGGGCTCCGGCGGACAGAGACTGCACAGATTTTCCCCCTTTTACTTCTTCTGCTCATCTTCTTTTTTTTTCCCCCGGGGCTTGGGTACCAGTTTGTGTTTCGTTGTCGTTTGTTATATTTTGTTTAGCCCGTGGCCCCCGCATTTTAAACTGCCGCTTAAAAGGCAAACTTGGGACGCACTTAAGGTCTCCCTTCTCAAAACAGTTTTATTTTTACCCTATATTTGTTTGGTCCTGTTGTTTCACTCTTTGGGGGCAAGGGGGAAGAGAACTCGTTGGTGTGATCATCCAGATGTGCGTGGGGAAGACAAGTGTTTGCAACTGGTCTCCTCCAGTGCCTCGTCTGCAGCAGCATCCGTCCCACATGGCGATCGCTCCCCGTGCGTGCAGCATCCGTCAGTGTTGACAAATTTGCTTAGAAAGTGAGGAGGGGAACGACGCAGCCCCCTTTTCCAAATTGTTCCCCTTTAAACCATCCTTTTTGGCTTTTTACCTTGTTGCAGCGTAACTACTTTACAACTTTGGGGGAAAGGATAAAAAGGAGATGAGAGATTGACTCTTGGCAAACTCGGATGCCCGTGATAGTTAGCTGAGATTTAGGAAGTGGGCATCTTGCAGTGCTCGTAGGCAAGAGCAAGGCACAGGGCAGAAGGCTTTACCCTTCATCAGTTCAGCAATGCTCTCAGGTGCCCCTGTTAATTCTCATTTAGGAGCAGCTTGGGAAAATACAGTAACCAGGGCACCCTATCTCAAAGTTCCTCTTGCATCCCTGTTGCAGTAGGTCAGTGTTTTACAGAAATATTAAATACTAAAGGAAAAGGGAGGAGGGGGAGAGAACAGTGCTAATGGTAAAGGTCTGCCAAATGTCACCTCAGTGTTACAATGACAAGAAAATACACTTTCCTTACAGCTCTCCCCCTAAGAAATTTGTTTTGAGGGATTTGACAATCTTGCAGATAAAGTGACTGCTTGCTACACTTAACTGATCATGCTCCCTCACGACCGGCCAGCGTTTCCTTGCTGCTCTTAGTAATACCTGCGCAACCTGGCTTGGAGTAGCATTGTCATTGATTTCCAAAGTAACTGCTTTTTAGCTCTTGTGAACAGACATACCTGCGTGGGGGGGCGGGGGGGAGAGAGAAAGTCTTTTCCCCACTCCCTGGAAGGATGATGGTAAAGTGCTATATTGGAAAAGACAGGAGGCTTCTCTAAATTTTGATAACTGCAGCCGACAATTTAGAAATAAGACACTTCTCACAGCCAACATGACAGTGGATTTTGAGCATTCAGAAAACACCAGGCCAAAAAACTGGAGACATCTTGATCTTTTAAGACAGCTTTTCCAGTACTTTAAGTGAAGGGGGGGGAGCGGGGAAAGAAAAAGAGAGAGAAAAGCTGCAAGGAAAATAATACAAAGCCAGCACAATTGGCATCTAGACAGTAAAGAAAAAAAGTTTTTGAGGTTAACAGAAGGAAAGACAAAGCTGTTATGTACCCGAGGGATGCAATTTTAGTGGGAATGGAAGATTTGAGTGGTAAAGGAGGAGCGCTTGCCTCTGGGTTCTCTCTCTTCCAGCAGTTCGGCTGCTGGCATCTCAATTTGAATTGCTGGGTGAGTAGCACTTTCTGCGTGCGCGTTTTCCGTCTTGACCATTGAACTTCTGATGTGACTTCTCTCCCTCTCCTCCTCTCTCCCTCTCCTTCCCTTTCTTCCTGTGAGGAATCAAAAAAAAAAAAATGGGGAGGGGGGGAGAGCGTGAGAAACCAAGCAAGCATCTCCAGCTGTGACCTTTGTTAGCTACATTGTTTTTATTTATTTATTTTATGGTAATCGCCTTTTCTAGTAGGGGGAAGCGCAACTTTTCGATGCCGCTGAATTTGGCAGCAGTGGCGAGGAGTGCGCGGCAGAGCCGCTGTCGCGACACAGTGGTGCAGCAGCGGGACAGTTGTTGCACTCCTCCCCTGCGCCCTTCCCTCCGCCCGGGTTTGGGGTTTGCTTGGGGGGGCGGGAGGGGGGGAAATGGGATTTTCTCTTTTCCTGGTGCATCCAGGGTGGGATCGGGGTGTGTTGGCGGGGCGGCGTTTCGGAGCCCGGTGTGCAGCAGGTTTCGGGGGCTGATTCCTGGCTGCTGAACAATGGTTACCAGCGAGGGAGAAGTGTGAGCGCGTGTAGGGCTGTGTTACATCTGCAGTCAGGCACTCACACAGTGACCATGACATCACTAGCTTTTCTTCTCTTTTTTTCCTTTGGGGCGGAGGGGGCCACTTCAAAGCTTTCTTCAGTTCAGTACGATATTTCCTAAACTCTGAAACCATGAAGGTAAAAATGTTTGGGTTTTGGGGTTTTTTTTCTTAAAGGAAGAAAAGTTGGTTTGTGGCAGGGCACATATGTTGCAGTTAAGGGGGTTTGGAGATGGAATGGTTTAACTCTTGTCATACACGAAACGAGATTTTTTGTTTTAATTATTAAAAATACTACGTAGTACTATTTCTTGGGTGCTTTTGATCCTGTGTTTGGTTGACAGTTAAATTTTCTGAGTTCTTCAGAAAGCTCAACTGTAGTGTGAAAGGGGAAAATTTTAGGGACACTGCATAAGAATTATTTTACCCAGGGATAAAGGAGTATGAAAAATCAGACTGAATGCTGATAAAGATGAGGTAGCACATGTTTTAATACAGTGCTTCTGTGTTTGCTGTCAGAAGTCCACGAGACTTTCTTTCTCCTATTATTATAAATTGCGGAAAGTAGAGCTACCCCTCAGCCTGGTTTGTGTATTACCCTTACTTGCACACAGAAAATAGAAACTTATTGATGAATTCTACAATGCATCACGTTTTCACTCTTGGTTTTGTGGAAGTCTTGAGTTTCTGCTGTTTCCTTTTCTAACTCTGCCAGACTTGCTTACAGAGTCACTTTATCCAGGAGGAGGATTTCTATCATTTCAGTACTCTGTGGTACTGAAATGATAGAAATAAGCCTGATGATTGAAGTAAGCCTGATTAGCTTACTTGATTTATTTGCCTTTTCTTATATAAAACAAGGGATAAAATTCTGTAGAATTTGTCTAAAATTAATTAATCTAAAAGCACAGTTATTTAGATGTTTTTTCTTTCACTGCGTGTTGTTGCATATGCAGGTTTTACAAGACTGGTGGTGAGATCTCACAAACATTATATCTTTAGAGGATTTTTTTTTTACTGGGACTTGGGGCAAAAGGCCTGACAGCACTGTGTAAATGTGCCTGTTACTTTTCTTCTGAAATACTTGCAAGGTGTTTCAGGTCTGATGTGCGTTTAACATAACGTTTTTACGGAAATTTTTTGAATTTATGCAAGAAATAATTGGTCTGGATTTACTTAATTGCATCAGTTAATTGTGCAGCATGTAATGTTTTTAGCATATAAAAAAATGAAAACTGTTTTTAGAGCCTTGTTATTTGTTATGGAATTTAATATGCATTTGCTACATTTGTTGCATATCGGTGTTGAGCACAGTCTGCTGTGAATGCTGCATTTTAAAAAGCTGTACTGAAAACTTGCCATCATATCTTAAGGCATGTATGTGCATGGTAGGTTTTTAATAATGCTGTTATTACTGAAATTACCAAATACAAGAAGGCATAGGCGTACATGCTAATTTTTATTAATTTCTTGCAGTTTTTTGACGGCCTCACATTTAAGTTCTTGCTATAGACAGAAATCACAGATACCCTAATAAAAATCAGGAGCTGTTTTGCCTACAGTATATATGCCTGCCTAGTGCTGAAATATGTGGTTTATAAGCAAGAATTAAAGCTGTTTATAATGAGGCATTTCAGAGACTTGGACAGCAAATCAAATTGCTTGACTAGGTATTCGCATAAACATATAGAGCAAGGTCTGTCGGGGCAATTATATGCGCTATTTTGCTTATACTTGCTTTTTTCTCTGCTTCTCATCTTCTCTTAATTTTTGTGCTTGTATTATTGCTCTGTGCCTCTCCCCTTCCTACCCTATTTGTGTTCAGGACCATTTCCCAAAGACCTGTTTTGGTTTCAGCCATCTCTATGCTTAGTGGTTGTGCATCCAGCACACCTTGTGCTGGTATGGCTTAGCAAAAAGGTGTTTTTCAGTTTTAATGTAATATATACCAAGATTTTTTGCTTTTTTGCCTTGTTAGAATGAACGAAGGCTTGTCTGTTCTGCAGAGATGGTATCTGTCTAGTAATTAAAATTAACTAAAGTCTGCAGAGAAAGCACCGAGTATTTGTCACATTGGGGAAGAAACTGCCTCTCCTTTTGTAATGGAAGAAATAAATATGGGTGCTTTTTTATCTGAAACTGGAAGAGACTGAGCACTACCCTGTCCAATTGGTATGGGAAAGTCCACCTGTTGATCAAATAATCTGTAATGTTGATCCTCAGTGTAAGGCTTGCCTGGATGCATGCAGGCCGCAGTTCTGGGCTATAGATGATGTAACTGCTGTGTGAATTCATATGCTGAGGTGAGGCAGAGCAGGTGAGCAGAGTGCTTTCTCTTTATCAGTGAAGCCTAAGAGAATAGGTAAGGTAAAATCTATCTGCTGTAAATGTAATCCCAGTGTTGCTGAAGGATCTCAAATTATAGACTTGTGTAGCAGGTGCTTGTTTGGGTCTGACCTGACATTGGAGTAACACCACATTGTCCAAGACTACAGCACTTAACTTGTATTTAAAACCCCAAGTTTCTTTCTTCTGCTAAAAAAAAATATATATATATATATAAAAAATATAAAAACCCCACTCCAAATACCATAGCAATAAACTTACAGACCACAACAGCTTTGAAAGCAGAGTGTGAGCGCACTTAATAATGTTTTACTACTAGTGTGTTTTATCCTCCTGCGTCGGAACTAACAGGCGGTAATTAGATAGCTAAACCCCAGTCCTTCCCCTTGTACACTAGAGGATTTGGCGTATGCTAATTGTCACCAGATCATTTCACATAATTGCCTTTCGGCGAAATTAAGTGGAAATTTCCTGAACATCTTAAATCCTCATTTCCCCACCCCCTCCCCTCAGTACCTTCTCACCCTGACAGGAAGGATGTGGAAAAATGTCAAGCACGGTGGCTTAGCTCTCCAATATTCAGGGGACACTTCATCTGAGTTAAAGGGGGGAAAAAAACCCCAAAATTATTCTTTTCATGAATGAATTGCTGGACACTTAAAAGCAGGAAGCTGATTTTGTTGTTTTGTCTGAGAGACTGCTAATAGACCACGGGGTTTTATTGAATGCCCGCAGTTCTTGCAGGAGCAGGTAGGCACTCGGTGGCCTGGGAAGTGGTCAGGGGGGGAAGGGGAAGAAACAGAAGGCTGCAAAAGTGTGTTTGTTTGTGTATCCCCATTTTTTAAAATTTAATTTAATTTTATTTTTATACTAAGGGTAGGACAGAGGGGGTTGTTGCAGGGGTTTCGGGGTTATTTTTTAAGGCTCTGCCTGGGGAGGGCATTGTCCCAGCACATGGTTGTCAGTGCTCCTGTCATCATTTGTGTGAAAGAAGAAAATGAGCCTCTTTCTAGCAGGGTGAGTTGTGATTATCAATGGAGGCCTTGTCTCCTGCTACAATGGGCAGTTAGCTTAGGGCAGGACCTTAGGCAGGAATCAGCTGCATTAAACTGAGAAAGGGCTCAGGCCACTGTATCAGCCATAAAGGAGCAAGGGGAAGTAGTTTTCAGGAATGCTTAGTCAGGTGTGAAAGCATCCTTAAAAAAAATAAACTGTGACTTCACTAGCTGTGCAGGGCTGGGTGAAATTAAATCTTTGATATTTTTCAGGAAATGCTTCATCACTCGTGTTGAATTTTTATGCTTGGGAAGGGGATGAGTACCAAGTTACATATAGCTGGTGGGTTTGGTTGGCTTTAGCTTCTCAGTTAACCCAAATGGTGTGCATTTTCCTTGGTGTAGTTTGGGGTGCCACCAAGAGTGGCTCCTGATGTGGGTGATCCCCAGACCTGCAGTGGTGCTTACAGATGTTCTGCTTTGGGTGGTGATGACACTGATGGAAGTGGAAAAGTATTTCAATATTTGCAGCCATATTTTGGGATTTGCCTTTACTTGCAACTTAATTTCCTGGTTTATGTGGGGTGTCACGGTGGTGAGGGGGTGTAAGGATGTCATTCCTAGGCAGAATCAGGGACAGATCAGCCTTTAGAAAAAAAGAAACTCCTTTTATGAGTATCTTTGGAACTGTAGAGCAGTTCAGGAGCATCTGTTAGCATTTCACTGGCCACAGTCAGCAAAACTGCAATAGCATCAGTAGGAAAATACAGAGAAACACATATTTTTAAATGTGAACTGGTATTGAATGATACTCCTTGCTAAGCCCAGGGAGCAACTCCAGGAGGGCCTGCTAATTCAAGACCACTGTCGACCTGCATCCACCCTGGAGGAGGGGAAAAGGCTGACAAACCCTCTTCTGTGCTGCTTTTGTTTTATTGTATTGTACTGGCTCATAAAAGCACTTTCAGGGCCCATCTTTCTTCAGCAGAAAAGGAGAGCAGTGGGGAAGAGGAGGACATGGCAAAAAGACAGGCGGAGCTCTAGCTCCATTTGTTTTCAGTGTCTCTTGATTAATAGGTTTTAAGGAGGATGGTGAGCTCTCATTGCTCTGATGGTGGAGGAAGGGGCCGGGGCTCTGGGCTCTGGGTGTGAGCACCTGCTCAGTCCCTCCCAGTCGCGGGTGGTTGAGGGGTGCCCGGTGGGCTGCAGCACCTCCCAGGGCTTGAAGGACGTTTCAAAGGGCACCAGGTCAGGGAAGGGGCTGCAGCTGCATGGGCTGTGCTGGCAGTACTGGAGTTTGAGGCTGGGTTGGTGCAGGAGCCTCCCCCTGCCCTCGGGATGCACTGGGAAGGAGTCAGGCGCCGGAGGCTTTGGCCGCTGCCATGCTGACACGGCACGGTGGCTTGTTTTCAGCCTGGGTGGCTTTTTGTGCAGACCTGCCTTTACTAACCCCACATTATTCTGGTGAGGACATCCTCTGGTGTTTCTGGCATGTTTTTTTTCTGACTTGGAGTTGATATGATACTGTGGTTTTATTGCCAAAGCCAAAAGAGCCATGAATTTGAAAGCAGAAATTGCAGTTGTAAACTCTTCCTGTTTAGAGTTTGGTTTCTCTTTGTGTGCTCAACAATACAATGTTTCATCTTATGCAAGTCCTATGTTGCTTTCAGAGACTTAGGAACTATTGATTTATGCAGCATGTATTAACTTCTTCAATAAATGGGGAGTATTCATCAGTAGGGTGTATTAAATTGGGCTGTATACGCATAGAAGCATCTTTCATCCTGTTAATGAAATGTCCTTACCATGCAACAAAGACTAATACACAGCAATTTATACACACAATCCCCTGCAGTTTAAATCTGAAGTTCAGATAGGTTTTTTTGTTCCCTAAAGGCACCTATCAGAACCTAGTCTAAATGGATCTCAGTACTCCTTTCAAACATTTATCAGTCCAAAATTTGTTGTGGTTTTGGTGCGGGAATTTTTTTTGTTCTAGAGCTCCATTATTGTTTAAACTGATCTGTGTTTAAGCACTCCCAGAAGCATTTCAAATTCATATAGAGAGGTTTAGTAGTAGAGCCCCTATGGGGACAATTTCTCCTGGTTGCTTCAGGCAGCAGTTACCAAGAAAAGCAAACTTCTCTTGTCTTTTTGCAATTCTTTACCATGCCCTCTAAGCTACCATATGAGACCTCAGCTTTCAATGGACAGGGGTGATTTATCAGCAGAGGGCTTGGTACTTCTTAGGTGCTGGGATTTCTCTCTAGAAATCTCCATTTGTTCCAGTCCTGTCAGCAGATGCCCTGATGCTGATCTGTGTGTACCAGTGCAGCTCCCTTCCCATGCCTGACAGAGCCATACATGGAGCTCTTCAGCTTGCCAGAGAAACGCCTGCATCTCACAATGGCTCTTAGCTTAAAAGGGCCCTTGATGAAGTGCTCACAAATGTATATTGGAGAATATTGCCTTTTGCAGGGGGATGTCTAAAGTCATCTTAATAGGGGTCTCCTATTGATGGTTTCTGTGGTTTACCTTTCATTGCCAGTGGATGGGGTTAGGACCACACTTGTAACTCAGGCAGAGCTCCCGTTGGCTTCAAAGGAAGATGCATCTGCAGGATTAATCCTGCTCTTTTCCAGATTGTCCTTTATTTTTCTTTTCCAAGGAAGCTTAGTTAACTGCAGGAACGGTACTTTTAAAAGAGCAGCTTGTTTAGCATATTATGCATGTTTAGCTTGGCTTGCAAATTGTGTGTGCTGTTCTGAGGGGAGTTATGGTCCCTTTCCCCAGTGTGTGCCAAACAGTGCAATGCAGAATGGAAACCTGTCCCTGGGTAGTGGTACAGATGCAGACTGACTGGCTGGGAAGTGGATCACACTCCTCATCACACTCTCATGTCCCAGAGAGCATGTTTTTGAGCATGTATATGATAGTTTCTCCCTTTCCCCTAGGACATTCTCCCCCCACCTCTGCCCCAGAATCATCAGTGTCAAAAGAGTATCCTACCCTTGCACCTTTATATGAGTGGTCCATTTGAGTGCGTGCTAGTAACCTAAACAAAAATTATTTACCAGGGGAATAATTTGCAGACTTAAGGTTCAAGCTCTTAATTGTTGATTTTTATTTGCTTTACTTTTGCTTTTTATTTGTGTCTGAAACATGTTAAGTGAAATACATCATAATTTAGCAGTTGTTCTGTTTTGTGGAGATATTGTGGGCGCTCTTGGTATATCAAAGCAAGGAGTGGTGGTTTCCCACAGTTGACATGTAACCCCCTATGGTACATCTGGCTTTGGTGATGGAGCCATGTCAGTCCAGCTTTCCTCTCACGTGTTGTTTCTTGTTTGTCGGCTTAAGTTTGACCCTGTAATGTTATTCTACATATTTTTTTAGCTAACCAGCTCCAGTTTCTGTGAAAATAAGCTCTCTGTGGAAGACAGCACTTAATGGCTGTCAGGGTCTGGGTGAGGTTTACCATGATGTGCAGATAGAGCTGGGAGAGCACAAAGCTACAGCCTGTATTAACTTCTTCACTAAATGGGGCCACATTGTGGGTCACCTAACAGCAGGAGTTCACACAATTCTTAGCCAGAAAAAGTAGCTCTTATTGGAAATGATCATTTTTGTGAACCTCATCAACTGGTCATTTGGCTTGTAATGTCATGTGTTGTTGGGTAGATGCCTGCTACTCTGTATGGTGTGAAATATAATTTGTTTGGTGAAACCCTTACCAAAGCCTTCAGTTACTTTCAGACTGCTTGGGCTGGTTCACTACAAAGAGAACAGATTTTGGGTTAGAGCATCTCCTTTGGCTTTTTGAACTTGGAGAGCCAAATCCTTATGTCTCTTCCTGATATGAAACCATTATGGATCCATGTGGCCAAAAGTTGTCCTTGGCTGTTCAGCTGGCAGATCTGACCCCCAACCCAGCCAGCACAAGCTGCTGTTAATCATAGCATTGGCTGTTGTGACCACGTTCTTCCCTGCATGGTGGCCACTTGACAGTGGAATCCCCTGTGCCAAGCGCTTGGTGGTGGAGGGGGATCATCTCATGTAAGGGTGGCAGAAAGAGATGAACATGGTGAAGAACATAGGAGAAGTTGTGGAAAGCACAGGTACAGGTCTTGGCTGGCTTCTTTTGGATGCACGCTTTTTCCTGCAGTTATCAAAGCAGTGAGCCCAAGTAGCCACTTATGGCAGGGGCTGGGGGAGCCAAAGGGGCTTCACTGGGCCAAAGCATGGTGGAGGGACTTCTTGTTCATTCAGGGGAGACAGATGTTTCTTTTCCTCCTTGCTCCCAGTTTGTCTTCCCTCTTCCTTCCCCACAGTCTAGCAGCTCATTCCCAAAGAATAACTGAATTATTTTTGAAATAATTTTTCCCTTCTTTTAAGGGAAGCTCAAAACATTGGAAGCTGGATCAGATAACAGCAATAGCTTGTCTAAGGTGGCACAGTGAGGGTGTGTGTGTGTGTTTGGGGGTGCTGGGGTGTGAGCAGTGGGCTCAGAGCTGTGCTGGAGCAGGATAGTGCTGGCAGACCCTGAACAGCAGCGGCGCTATCGTGGCCACCATGGTATCACTACTTTATTTTAATGTGATTCCTTTTACTTGATGTTAATGCAAGTTGTTCCTTACTTAAAGTAATAAAAGGAAATGAAGACACATTCTAAAATGAAACCTGACTCTAATCCATTCATCATCTAATACCAGCCTCTTTATCTTTGCTGGTACCTAATCTGGTTAAATGTCCCTGTTGTAGGATTTTAGTGAAAATCCTCTATGGGGAATAGGGTTTTTTGCAATTGGATTACTCGCAGTAAATGGTCCAGCGGTTCAGCTGGTTTCAGCTTAATTTTTTCTTTGTGATCTTGTAAGGGTAAGTTACAGTTCAGCCTGCCTTTTTCTTTCATTCATTCACTCCTTTTAATTTTTTTTTTAATTGTTGTTGAGAAAAATATTTTTTTTCCCCAGAGCTAGGAATGTGATGGGGAAAACCTCATGATATCTACGTGATTATTCCCCCTACAAGAGTGTTAATTTCAATGGCTTTATCTGGGGGGTTTTGCCATTATTTATATAGCTGAATATTTTAGTAGCCTAATTAATCAGTATCCAGTTTCCATTTATTAGTGCTCTCTGATGAATTGATAATTAATCAGCTCTTCTAAAATATATATATAAAATATGCAGGTGATCGCTTGTCAGCTTAATGCTTGCTGATGAAGGGAATACTCCAGCACTACAAAGGCTTTTTATCTGGAGTATTTGCAATGAGCAGTAAAATGCAGAACTGAGAGTGAGGACAGGAAGGGGAGAGGAAAAGACCTACAGGTCATTGAGCATTTGGGTCTCTTGCTAATTAAATGGGGGACTCTCTCAGCCCCTCACTGAGGAGTCTGCCTGCATCTTGAAGGTGAAGCACAAGATTATAAAAGAAAAAGAAAAATTTTAAAGAATTGCTGTTGCTCCATACAGGAGCATGACAGGTCAAAAAGATTAAAGAACCTCAACAGCAGGGAAAGTGTGTGAGGAGGTTTTAAGCAAGAGGGTGGGAAAACTGCAAGGGTGATGCAGAGAAGGAATCTGGAAAAGTCTGAGGATCGCATTGAAATCCTGGCTACTCAGATTTTTTGTGTGTTGTACCTCATGCTGTAGTGGGGAGATGCCCAGCACTGCTCTAACAGTGTCAACCTTTTTCTCTTGACAGTCTAACAAAGTGCCAGTTGTGCAGCACCCACACCATGTACACCCTCTTACGCCGCTTATCACATACAGCAATGAGCACTTCACACCAGGAAACCCTCCTCCACACTTACCAGCTGACGTAGACCCCAAAACAGGTAGGTGGGAAGTATTTTGGGGTTGCTTTTGGGAGGGAGTGGGTGGATCTTCCCTTTTTGCGCATTAGGGGAGAGGAGTGCGGGAGAATGGATTTCCCATGCTGGAGCACCAAAGGGGGCATGTGAAATGTCAAAGCCAGACAAAATACTTTCTTTTTAAGCCAATTAGACTTCAGAAGGAAACCTACTGGGTGAATTTTCATAGAGCTTCTGCAGGGTGACACCAGAGTTGCATGTGTGGGGTCGCTTGCAGGTGTGTTTCTTTGCAAGCATGATACCCCACCTGGTAGTTCAATCTACCAGTGCTTGGTTTGCATGCACGACCCACAGAATTAAACATGTACATTCTGTGATCTGCACTTACAAAATTGCAGCTGGAATTTTAAAGGTGGTGGGTCATGACCGGTTTCAAAATGAATCTCTTTTAATTCCCCAAATCCCATTGTTTCTGTGTCAGGAGTTCAGCCATTTTTCTTCTATAATGTTGAATTTTCATCCACTGTAACTACTTAGCTCCAGCTTTACACTTGCAATTCTTTTCCCCAATGTAAGTCTACCCAACTCTAAGTTCAGCCTGAAGGGCACTCTGCTTGAATATAGAGCACCACGTAAAATCCTGACTAGATTTATTGGTGTTACAGAGTAGAATTTACATGTTATTCTAACTTTTTAAGAGTCCCTTTTTAACCTGAGGTCCCAAAGAAGTCAAACAGTGTCAATCTTCTTTCTCCAGGCTGTGCTGAGTTCCTAGTGACAGTGGTTTTTGGTTTTGTTAATCCGAGCCCCATTTAGTTAATTGTGAAGTTCATCAGAAACAGAATTCATGTCAAAGGAATCACTCTGTGTCAGCCTTAACTTATGCAGATAATTTATCTAAACTCCAGCCCTTGAATGAGACTGTGCATTAGCTGGCTGTCACTCGATATGCTTCAACTGGGGCCCCCTTTTAATTGTGCTTAATGCTGACTTCACATGGCTTGAAAGGAATCCATCTCACCATCCCTGGGTATTGCAAGTGAATGGCATAGTCAACCTCTCATTTAAATAATGGTAGTACAGGGAATAGCTCTTAAATGGTTATCGTAAAACATATGATTAACGTCTGTAGACTGTTTGCTTTTCTTCTGTGAACATTCTTTCAAGTGTGCAAATAGCTCACTGGATGGTTAAAGCCCAGTTAATCTGTTTGGGTTTTGTAATGGAGAAAAAGCAATGTCTGCATGAAAATGTCACACAAGGAGATTTAATTTAGAGATTAAAGTGACTTAAAAAAATAGTTTTTAGCCCTGAATACAGTACCCCTTCTTTTTAATGCTCTCTGTTTTAATTTTGTTTCTGCTGTGTAATTGTGCCCTGGCTTGTTAATTGAAAGACCCAGCTTTGTAACCCTTACTCCTCTGAGTAATTCCTATTTGCTCTTAAGGTAAGGAGCGTTAATATTTAAGGCTTGTGTCTGGAGCTGGTTTCTGCTTTCTGAGTAGAAACTGTACCTCAATCCAGAGAGGATGGGTGGGCTCTCCGTCCTCCCCTGCACACCTTCAACATCTGCCCCTGGTTTTACCAAGCATTTCCAGGGGTCCTCACCTCCACTCCTGGTTTCAGAAAAGTTCTCCTAGCTTTGCTCAAAAGGAAACATCATTTACAATTTTAATGACTTTTAAACTTGTTCTGGAGATTACTTTGGAATAATGCCATGTTAATTGAGTACCCAGTCACCACATGGGTAGGGCCTGTGATCTTTTGGCTGACTTTGAAACTAAAATAACCATGAAGCTGTTGCAGGGTCCATCTTTGTGTTGAACATTTAAGAGTGTATCTAATACAGCATCACACCAAAATTGTGTCTGAGACTGCTAAATTCTGAATAACAAAAATAATTATCTCTGACTGGAGAGGTGACTAAGGGAGTGAATAACATTTTTTCTTGTTTAAAAAATGAGAATGTGAAAAATTCTTTGAAAACCCTAAGCAAAGTCACAAATACTGTAATAAAAGTAAATTGACAGAAATTTAGAAACATATGCGTTTTTTCTTTATATTTTATTTATTTCGACATTTCAATACTGATGTTGCTTTATGTTCCTCTTCTATAGGAATTCCAAGGCCTCCACATCCTCCAGATATATCTCCTTATTATCCATTATCACCAGGCACTGTAGGACAAATCCCCCATCCGCTAGGATGGTTAGTACCACAGTAAGGAGTTCCATTTTTTTAATTTCTTTTTTTCTTTTTCTGATGTGTAAAATTTATGTAAAAATATATGTGTGTGTGTGTGTGTATGTATATGTGTGCATTGGGATGAGTTGTTTGCCAACTGCCACTTCACTGAGTGTTATGAATTTACCAACCTCAAGGTTAATTAAAATATATGCCAGGTCATGTGGTCATAAACAAAACCTGAGCAGTTGGACACAGCTTTGCATGTCATCCTAACCAGCTGACAGCTCATGAAGCATGAATTTTGAAATCCTTCTGCAGAAATGTCCTTTTCTTGTTATTGCCCTTACACTGACTGCATGAGTTTTTCTCAGATTTGTTTTCTGGGGGCTCAAGGTGGTTCTTATAGACCCTTTTTTTTTTTTTTTTTTTACTAGGGCCATCCCTACTACAAATTTGCAATTTTAAGTTTCATTTGCCTTGTCTGTTGAAAACTCTTTTGTTTTACTTATGAAACAGTAGAGCTTTACATCAGCCATAAGCAGCCTTCCTAATTGAGATGTGGCTGGGCAGTTGGCAACTGGCATCTAAGGAATGGAATTTTAAACAAGTAAAAGGAATTAGTTTACTTTAAAACTGGTTAAGAAAAAAGAAATGGAAAGTTAGTTTGGGATTTGGATTCATTTTCAACTCCTCAGATCCCACTTGCAGAGCCTTGCTGGGTATGAGGCTCCCAGCAGTAATCAAGTCCTTATCTTCTTTTATTTCTTATGTTGCCATCTCTCAATAGGTTTATAATATACTTAAGCACTGCCTAAGCCTTTTGTGTAGTATATTTGATCTAAATGCTTATAAAATCCATTTGTATTGCTGGATAAAACAGTTCTCTGCATTATAAATCAAGACTGTTACCTTGCTTTTCTCACATAACAGGCCTCCTCTGTTTTGGAGTGATCATATTTTTTATAGAAATTAATTGCCCAAAGTTCAAAATAGTTTGCTCCTGCTTGAGGTTGTTTCTCCAGCTGTGCTGAAATACTTCTCCACAAGTTCCTCCATGAGGAACTGGAGTTGATACCCCAAAGCGAAAGCAGGGCAGGGCAGGAGGTCACTGCATATCCCCAGGTCTTGGGCAAGACCTGGTGGTGGCCATCAGAAGCTTTGGAGACCTTTCTCAAGCACAAAAGTGTTGATGCAGGAGAGATGAAGCTTATACAATTATTAAATAATAATTTCTCTCATTTTGCATGGTGCCCTTCCTTGTGGGTGGTCATGCTGCTATTTTGGGTAGAGGTTCCCCCACCCTGAGGGTGAAGCATGTCCATCACCTCTCTGCTGAATGTCCAGAAGATCACATCATGAGCAGAAGTAAAACCCAAAGCATTGCTCCCTGAAATTTGAAATTCGTCCTGTTTGTGGTGATTTACCCTTTCCAAAGGACACCCTGAACAATTGTAGACTGCATGTGAGCTCCTTAGCTCAAGTTTGCACAGCAATAGCCTCAACATTTCAAACAAATACACTCAGCTAGTGCCAAAAGTCAGTGACATGAAAGACATGAGGGTGCAGGGAAGAAACTCTTCAGTGTCCCTGGCCTATACCCCATTGCTCATGTGGGTGTCTGTAGTGTGCAGACACAGGTTTGTCCTCCTTGCACCTCATGCCATGGCTGCCAAAGCACATGGATGATGCCACGTGTAGCCAGTTTCACCAGAAAGGTGCTAATGGCCACCTCTGTCTCTGGACAACTCTGCCATCCCCACTGCTTCAGAACAAGTCAACACCATGGTCTACTTAGAGCCTACCCACAGCTCTTACAGCTTCTCCCAGTGATTTTTGGTGAGGGGTGACACCATCACATTGGCTTTTGCTCTGGGAGAGTGGCACGGCCAACTTCACAGAAGTAACCCAAGTTTTTCATTTCCCCTCTCCTTGCCACTTGCACTTCACCATCAACTTCCCAACCCATCTGTCCTCCACTGGCTTGCATGTTTTTGGCATAGTACCCACTCCAAAAGCATCCTGCCCAGTCAGATGATGTATTTGAAGGACAGATGAAACAAGCTAGCCAGCACAGACAAACCTCCATCAGAAAAAGTTGTGTGTCTTTCATGAGGATGCTGTTTTGCATGTTGCTGTATTTTTTAATTATTGTAATGAGGTGTGATTGTCTATTGGTTACCCACAATACTTCTTGGGGACTCTCCCCCGGTAACTCTTGTCAACACTTGTTAATCTGACAAAAGGCTACAAATTAAGCTCTGTTAATTTAATGTTTTCTCACCGAGATCTAAATACCGAAAGAGGCCCAAAGCGCAACTGAAGTCCTTTGATTCACTGTACTTTATTTTGGTATAAATTTACATTCATTATTGTTTTCCTTTGGATGTGTAGCCCTCAATTAGTGTGATGGCTCCATTAAAGCAAGCGAGACTTCGCCTTTAATTATTACAACAAAACACCTAGTTTCAGCTTGGGGAGAGGGTCTCTATTGACATAAGCAGAGGTTATAAAATTTAATTAGCCATTCCTATCAGATTTATGGCATTCAAATTGTTCTGTGTTTCTTTCCTTTGATCCTTGCTGTACAATCCCCAAGATTTTTGTTCTGATCAAATGAGAATAAAGCTTACTGTGCAGAGAGAAGTTTTTTGCTGTTCTTTTTTTTTTTAAGCCCTTTTTTCCTTTCTCTCATTCCCTCTCTCCCTTCTTTTTTGCCAGGCAAGGTCAGCCAGTGTACCCAATCACGACAGGGGGTTTCCGCCACCCCTACCCAACAGCTCTGACCGTCAATGCTTCCATGTCAAGGTGAGTTCAAATGCTGAGGTCCTAAATCAAGAGCAAATGTAGCTCCTCCTCCCACTCTCTGTAGGAGAGCATTTCGTCTAGGCAGCAGATTCCTGAAAGCACTTGAGTTAAACATCCATCCTTAGCTTTTTGGTGGGGTGGAGGAGAGGGCGAGGGCTACCTTCCCATGTGAGGAGAAGGTGGTGTCCTGATGCTGTCATTGGGCCTCAAGAACTTGCCTTAGAGGGAGAGGTGGAGGAGTGAGAAGCCACCTTTGAAAGCCAAACTAAATGAAAGAGCTGGGAGAGTGTGATGTTGAAAAAGCAGGGATGAGAAGTGGTGATAGCCTTTGCTTTCCCGGTGGCCAGCAGCCAGAGCAGCGCTGTGTGCGCGGGAGGGGAGGCTCAGGAGGGAGGAGGACTGCTCTTCAGCAGAGTTGGGAGGAAGGTTATTGTGCTGTTTTCCCCTCCCAAAGCTCCAAACACTAATAGTCAACATAAAAGGGCCTGCCTGACCCTCAAAAGCTTTAGAAGTATATATTTCTCCCCCTCCCTACCTCCAATTAATTCCATCTAATTTTCCAGGGGCTGCTAGTTTTATTTACAAACTGGTTGGCAGCACTATGTTTAAGTAATCAGTAATTGCTCCTAATGATAGTTTTATTTTCTGTTCATCTGATTTTCAGCCTGGTTAATTAAATCGGTGGAAGTTTAGACTTTCCTGATGGGCTGAAACAGCTAATCCATTTTGATGATGGCACATAATTAAATTAGCATGCATTACATAGCAAGGTTCCACATCTCTTCCCTGCTCTGTCCCTTCCTCTCCATCTCTGCAGTTTAATATGTGAGCACTGGTGCATAGATGATCTAAGGAGGAAAAGACTGGTGAGGGCTGGGGGGAAGCACACCTCATTGAGAAGTGGAAATCTGTACCTAGGGCTCGTGAATGAATGGGTGGGAAAACAGCGTGGTGTGTGCTTTAGATAAATAAACAAAAAAATAAAAATTTAAATTAAAATGCTGGCCCAGCAAATAGACAACTGGAATATCAACTTTAAAAAAAAGGGTAGTCCCAGAACAGAAAAAAAATACTAGGCTGGGGAGAGAGCTGCAAATTTAAACAACGGTTCCCTCCCCCTGTTTAATCTTTTTAATATCTATAAAAGACTTGCAGGCATGGTGTGAGGCAAAGTAGAGCTTGATTTAGTTTAATTATTATTAGAGAGGCTAGTCATTTGAGGGAGGGGGGAGATGTGGAAGCAGGGGGGGCTATATTCCCAAGATAGACTTTATGAAAGGTATCTAGTTAAAAAGAGTACACAGCAAATTAAATACATTATTGTGGTAATGGGACGACAGAAGTAGAGGTCTATTATACTTATGGCAGTTATAGGAAATGTAGGCTCCTTGCCCTGTTCTAGCACATCCTTTGATATTCATTCCATTCAGCAGCAGGGCCAGGACTTCTCAGAATTAAGTGATGGGTCATTATACTTTAAACACCATGGAGAAGCCTAGATTGGCAATTAAACAGCACTTGCTGACACTCGCTTGTGCCACCCTGTGACCCCCTTTAGATTGAGTTGTTGGAGCTCGGGGCCCTCAGCCTGCTAAATTGGTAGCAGGCACTTCTCCTGACGAGGGCTGGCTCTGAAATCTGCCGGCTTCAAAGGGAGCAAGATCATGTATAAACCATAATGTGGGTGCACCGTGGCTCAAAAAATAAGGCAGGAATAGATGAAATGTTACAAGTGCAAGGGGAAAATGAGAGAATAATGACAAATCTAATGCAACTCAAAGCAGAATTGTTGCACAGAAAAATGCATCCCACTGCTTGTGCATAAAATCAAGGCAGGCAGATGACATCCAGTTAACAGAAACATGTCAACAGTGAAGTAAAGTGAGAGTGAGTAAGAGAGAAGCCCCTGAGACAGCCAGGAACAAAAAATTAGTTGTCCTTAACAAGTTAAGACTCATCATTATATTCTGGCTTGGAGCCATAAAAGGAGACAGTAGTGTATAATGAGCTGCTTAGAATTTTTAGGGTGTTTATTGCAATTCATGGAATACTTGTCTAGAGAAAAAAAATCTGGTGAATGTCTTAGGCGAAGGTGAGGGGTGTGCACATACACAGGGAGCCTTTCTTTTTGTCTCTGACAGAAGCCCATGCATGTGCACGTGCTCAGGCACACGTGCAGGGGGATGAATTGATTTAAGGTGTTTACCCTTTGTTTTCAGCCCAGAAACTTCTCCTCTGGTTTCCCCTAGATGGGAGCACCCTCTGTGCTCTCATATATGGTTTCATGTATGTTTTCCCCTGTCAACCTGGGCTCAGCAGGGGACAGCCCTTGTCCAGGTGTCTGCTGTGGTCAGGGGATTGCTGGTGGTGCCCATGCTGGCCTCCAGACATGCTGGTCCTGGGCAGCTGCCCTGCAGGGTCCTGCTGCAAGCCCGTGCTGCAAACCTTGCCTTTGCTGTGCTGGCTGTGCAGTGAAGTCAGCACAGACCTCAAACCTCACCCCTCCATCCACAGTTTTCCAGTGCCTGCCTTCAGAAGTAGTTCCCATCTTTGTCTGCATTATGGTGTGGATCTTTGGAGCCTATAGTGCTTCCCAACCTTTAGCTCCCTAAGCTTAGAAATTGCTGTTTATTAGTTTAAGTGTGCTTATGAATAGTTTAGAAAAGGTTAATGGGTGACTAATAGTGATTTTTCATATATGGTTTAGGTAGTGTCTTTAACCAGTTGCAACTCTTAGTTGTTACTTGTAGCCTTGCCACACTCACATTGTATGCCTGTAGTATGCCTGTAAGATCTCTTGATCCTTCATTACCTCTCTGTAATATGCCTTTAAGGTAAAATGAGACAGGGCTGACTGAATGATGGGCAAACAGTGGACCCACTATGAAAAAACAACTGCTGTGAGAGGAAATCAGGAAATAATTTAGCAGAATTACACCAGACAAACACTGCACAGCAGTTAAGTGGTGGCAGTGGAAAATACCTTCTGTAATTGAAATTTCAGGGGAAATTCACTTTTGCTGAATGTAATTACTGAAGTTGGAGTGTAGCCAGGAAGTTAAAAATTAACACCCTTCCCCTGCTCATATTGCCATGTGAGTGGCTGTCTGCATGGAAATGAGCAGGCACTCAGATCTTGGGCTGAACCCTCATCCCACCAATGGAAGTCTATGGGATTGTGAGAGCAACTTTGGGTTCTGGAGCATGTTTTTATAGCCCTAAATATAGGAAGGGGTGTGTAAGTCCAATAGGCAGCCTTGTGAATTGGACAGATTCAGTATGAAAAAGTGAATGGCCATTGGTAATGAACACAGCACTTCCTCATGGAAACTGCAACCCTGAAAATAACCACTGAGCTGCAGCTGCCTGTTGATGAAGGCTGCTGTCTCTGGAGTTTAGAGCCCAGTGAGTGAAATATCCCAGCTGAGGTCAGTGGAGGCTTTGCCATCCTTCAGGCCTTCACACAATGTGGGCATGCTGTGCTCTGCATTTAGATTTTCTCCCTGCTGGTACATGCCCACCGCACTTCACGCTGAGCCCTCATGTCAGACCAGCAGAGCTCTTCCTGCCTGCTCTCTGAAGGAAGGCTTTTCATCTCCATCTTCATCCTTCATTCTCCCTTTGTCTCTGGCCTAGCCAGCCCCAGCAGCTTAGTCCTTCCTCCCTGAAACACTGGGTCTTGCCTAGGACAGTTCCTTGATAGGATGTGCCTCAACCTTTTATCACTGTGCTTAGACTGTGTTCAGCAAGGTCAGGTTTTTTACCACCACTTTTATTTTTGATCATGTTTGTTAGTTATTTTTTTTAAAAAATCCAGCTCATACTGCCAGTTTTTATTTGCATTGTACCATGTCTGAAGGTCCCAGGTGTGTGAGAACAAATTTTAGATATGTCCAATCAAAATACATACACATGGAAGTAGAGAAAGAGCAGAAAAAAGTAATACAAAGGCCCAGTTTGTGTCTTGCTGAAGGTGAGCAGTTCTGTGGCAGAACTGGGACAAGGATGCCAGTCTCCTTTGCAGCCTTGACATTGTCTTCTCTTCTGACCTGCCATGAACCACAGCATATCCTCAAATGTGTGCTTCTCTCCCAGCTACTTTTGTCAGAGAGTGGGAAGGCACTTGGACAACCCACTTGGCGATTTGTGTCCGTGAGTCTTTAGCAGAAGTAGGAATGACCATTTTGCTGCCCATTCTCCTCTTCCCTTGCCATCCAACCTTCCTGCCTCCCTTCTCTCCATGCCTTTGTTCATGAAGAACTGCAATTCTCTACAACTTGAACAATTTCACATTCTCCCTGTCAGTCCTTGCTCTTCCCACCACTGCCTTCAAAGACAAAATAGTTCTGTCTAATCACCCTGAGTACTACCAGCTGATAGACAAAAGATCCTCAGAGCTTGTAGTGGACAGTGCTCTTGTTCATGAAAGTACTTCTGTGTCATCTTGTGAATGTAGAGTATGTCTAGGCAGTCATGGGGGATGGTATTGTTAAGCTTGGCATTGGGATTTATAAGAGGGGAGAGAAAAAGATAACCCCACTATATTTCTGATGCTTATACACGACAATATCCATGGTATATCACCCCATTTTAAATCCTGTTGGATAGAAAAAAATCATTGTATATTGATGATAGAAGAAATAATCATTTATGTCATTGAGTGTTCCATAATCTTGGGTTGTTTTACTTGGATCAGATTGTGCAAAATCTAGGATGAGAGTGGGGATTTGCAGTGAGAAAAGCCCTTGCCAGATCACTTTAATTTTGGCATTTTGAGGAAAGTTACTTCTGAAACATAATTTTAGGCTAGAGCCCATTCCTTGGAAACCTGTTGACTTCCATGGGGGAAGGCAGTCAGTCATGCTGTGCTTTCTTTATTTACTGCAAAGCCTTTCTGAGACTGTTGAGAAACAATGATATAAGTCAATCCTGCTTTTGAGAATTTTGTTCATTTTTGTTCATTGAGAATTTTGTTAATTTCTCTTATATTTCATAAAATGTAAAAAGTCTGAATGATTGTGCCATGTTTGTGCTGCGATCCCGACCAAGCAATTAGATTCATGCAGAAGGATTGTGTATCCCTCTGAATCCACTTGCAGGACCGGGATCTGTCCATGTATATGACCATAAACCATAAAGCTGACAACATTTTTTTCTCTTTAGAAAGGCTAGATTGTTAAAGCCTTTCTAGGTTACTTAAATGGATCAAAAATTCCACAATCTTCCACCTTCTGTTAAAGCAGTGTGGCTCAGAGATTTATTAGACACAAATAAATATTTTTCTTTTGCTCCATCAACAAAATGTAGCTAATGAGGCGTCTATAAGTATTATCAAAAATGCATCTAGAATGTGTTGGCATTAATATTTTATTTTGCTGTCAATATAGAATAAAAGATGTCATCCTAAATTCACAACATGATTCAAAACTATAAAAATTGATTCCTTGGCTGCCACACATAATTTCTCAGCAAAGAAATGGACTGGTGGATTTTGTTTCAGGTAGCTGAAATTCCACCTTCATGCAAGTTCATCCAGTTGAATTCGCCTTTTGTTAATGTTAAAAATCATGATGTCTCGTGTCAGTAATGATAATGAAGGGGAAGATTGGCTTTAATGACATTAGAAGAGTCATTATGTTTAATTTATTGCTAATTAATGCTGCCAGCTTTCATATGCTTTGTCTAGCTGTCATGCGCTTGTTATATGCCAGTTGTTTTTTTTTTTTTATTAATGTGTGTACACATCCCTCCCCATTCATTCATTTTTATTCTGACAATTTACACAGCTTTCTCTCCTCTAGGTTTCCTCCACACATGGTCCCGCCACACCATAGTTTACACACAACTGGAATTCCTCATCCGGCCATAGTCACACCAACAGTCAAACAGGAATCTTCCCAGAGCGACGTCGGCTCACTCCACAGCTCGTAAGTTGTTGCTTCCCCTGTCTTCTCTTTGGGATACTCAAAGCATCCCCTGTGCATGTGTGGCTTGTAAAAAGGCTTGGGTTTGTGATGTTTTTTGCTGTGAAATGTCATAGGCAATTAGTTACTAATTTCATGTGTTTCAACAAGGAAGTGGAATTTTCTTGATTGAGATTCAAGTTTCTTGACCAGTTTCTCTATTACTCAGTGTCTAGTTTGAATCCTTGAGATAACAGATGCATCATAGGAGACAAAAAATCTAAGCATAAATGGCTTCTTCAAAGCTGCAGAGAGCTGGTATCAAGTTTAGGTTTGAACTGACGAGAGCCCATTGATAAAGAGGTGTAATTATTTCCTCTACTGTCATGCTCAAGCTCTCCCTGTAAGCCCATTTTTCTGGGGCCCATGTCCTTCCAAGATTCTTGTAGGGGCTCAGAGGGTACTTGGTAGTGTTGCATAAACGTGAGGTGAGTTTTCTTGTAGTGTTTTTAAGACTGTTGCCATACAGCAGCCAGGGTGAAGGGTCTAGAGAACCTTCTGGTCCTCTTCCTAGAGATTGCTGAGGATTGTTGCTAGAGAGAATGAGGGGATTAATTTAATAAACTCACAAGGGGTTCTCACTGTGAGGTCTCTGTCTGTTCTATTTTTACTCTTCAGAAAACATCAGGACTCCAAAAAAGAAGAAGAGAAAAAGAAGCCACACATAAAGAAACCTCTTAATGCATTTATGTTGTATATGAAGGAAATGAGAGCAAAAGTTGTAGCAGAATGCACATTGAAAGAGAGCGCAGCCATCAACCAAATCCTCGGTCGAAGGGTAGGTAACAAGGGACAGGCACAAGCAGGGCCTGAAACTGGGGAGGATTCACACCTTCTAGATCCCTGTGTTTTTCTGCCATTGTGAAAATGGATAGGGGAATTGCTAAATCAAAGGCCTTTGTTTTTTAGTTTCTGCAGGCACTTCTTGCCAGTGGGGTCATTTATGGGGAAGAGGAGGAGTTAATTAACAGCAGTGTTATTTCAGTATCATTTCCATGACCGGTTGATGAAAAAAATCATAAGATTTTTATTTTGGCCTAAGATAGGCAGAAAAGTAAATGGGAAATGAAAAACCTTTGAGTTCAGTACCAGTATCAGCACCTGTGAGAGCTAGAAGAGGAGAGGAAGTGCCGGTGGGGGAGACACCTCCAAAGCTGGAACTGATTTCTGGCTCAGGACAAGTGGTTCAGCTTCTGGACCGTCTCCCCTGCTGTCTTGTTTTTGTTTAGATTTCTTAATTCTCCTCTCTCAACAGGAGACAAAGGGGTTGAGTGCATGTAAATGATTAGTTGTGGTTCAATTGATTTAACTGCAGTTATAATCTAGAGCTGTAAATAAAATACGAATGTCAGCATGCCAGATCATCAGTTTTTGTCTCTTTTTAATGAAAATCGATTCTAACTGTATCTATATGTATAAATAACACATTTTGCTGTTAATATGCTTAAAAAACCCCCAACCACTAGTGCTTTTTATTTTGTCTTTTTGTCTTTTCTCCACCCCAGTGGCACGCGTTATCCAGAGAAGAGCAAGCGAAATACTATGAACTAGCAAGGAAGGAGCGACAGCTTCACATGCAGCTGTACCCGGGCTGGTCTGCGCGGGATAACTATGTAGGTTCCTGTGTGGGTGGAAACTTTGAGTAGTAGAGCTTGTAGAAATGTCTGTGTGACCTGCTGAGCTATGACCATGCATTGCACACAAGCACTGCGTGGAAAGTCTCAGGAACCAATGTGGTAACGACAACAGGCGCTTCCCTTGGTGATACTGAAACTATTGGGGGATAATTCCCACTTGGAAGAGGCTTCTGGGCTGGGACTGGTATGGGTTAGAATTTGAGGATAACAGTAGAGCTCTGTGAAAAAAAGTCTTCCCTTCACTTTTACCAGCATCTGGAAATACTGTTTGGCTTTCTGGTCATTTAGAATTTCATTTTTTAAAACGAAATTTAAAATGCCCCTTGTATGCTCCTCTCCTTTCCACCAAAAGAGATAAATAATTAGTGTCTTGTGCTTATGTGTGTGAGAGTGTAGTGGAAAGTGGAAAAATGACTTATCCTAGCTTCAGAGAAGGACTGGCAAAACCAAAAGCATTATATTTTTGAAAGTCTTACTCTCAAGTGGGGTTAAATGAATTATTCCACACTTGATAGTTATGTATTTTGTTTATGTTTTCTTTTTCATGCCCATATTACCTTTCTTTTCCCCCCTACCCTCCTAATTTTTTAAAAAGTATATTGGAATTCATGATCAATTCATGGATTGTTTTAAAATTGATTCCTCCCTCTACTTTTCAGAAAGCCTGTTTTTGAGCTAAAAGTGCTAGTATTTTTTGTCTGTTAAAAAGCATAAGGGCAGCTTTATAACCCCTAGTACTAAATAGCTCCTTCCATGAAGGGTAAGCGGTGCAGATGGTAATAAGTGTTTGCAAGCCTAAGCCCATAAATTCTTGACAGATTTGTGGATTGGTGAGAGCTCTAAACCCTTTTTAATAGGATTATAGCAGCATCTTGATTTTTTTTTAAAGTTAAATAAAAATCACCTAGAACTCTCAAGGTCTGTAACTCTGTAATAAACCCTTTTCTCTGCCTTCTAGTCACACTTTCCTGCAGGTTTGGGGACCAACAGTTCTAAGATTGATGCCAGTTTTAAGTAGAGTTACACATTACAGTTTTGCTGAAGTTTGTCTCTTCCATCCTCATCATAATCACTGCCTGTTTTACCATAAACATTCTGTTTCGCTCTATATGATAATACTCGCCTCTGTGAATCTGCATTTTTAAGTGTATGGGTGGGAGGAAGCCAGTTCAGAGTCTGCAGTGAAGCCAGGAGAAGCAGCAGCAGCTCTTAACACTCTTCTGCCATTTCAGTGGTGGAGAGTACACATGCTCACTTATTTAGCAATATGTACTTAGGGACAGTTTTTCAAATCCTTCTGTTTTCTTGATCATCTTTTCTTTCCACCGGGCTCAGCTCTCCCTCCTTGGTCATTACAGGTATACCTGTGCATGCTCAATTGTCCTTCCAGTTCAGAACATTCTTGATCCTGTGCTCCTCAGAGGAGACCTTTTAAAGCCTGATGAGGCACAGCTCCTGGTTAGCACATTTTCCTTCCCCTTTCAGCACAGTCTGGCCCGAGGCTGTCAGACCATAGGCTCGAGGTAGTTGCTCAGCACTGTGCAGTATCATCATCTTGGGTGTTCAAAAGGGAGTCTGGGCTCGACTGAGGTTTCGGGAATGCTCATTCTGCACAGTGACTGTGCCACCGACAGATGGGCATGTACAAAGCCTCGGTGTTTAGGACCTTTTACTTTTGTCCTCACTGTGTGAACACTGAGAAACCCTTTCTTCTCAAGCTAAAAAGGACAGGATGAGAGAGCCGGTGCTTTCCCAGCGGCTTGATGCTGTACCCCCAGGTGACCTTCAGGGGGAACCTTCCTGCCTGAGGAGAGCGTGGTACCTTTGCATCATCCACAGGATTTATTTATGTCTCCTCTCCTGGTCCATTCACAGCTCTCCTGAGTGCCCCTCCTCCCTCAGCCGTTTGTAGGGTCTTGAGCCTTTCACACATCTAGCAGGGGAGCGACTTTGGGCTGCTTGAAGTGGTTAAATTGTTAAGCACCTCACATCAGGCTCCGGGATAAGGCCAGCTATAGCCCAAGTCTTCAGAGACAGGAGCAGTGCATTCAGGAAATGCAGCTTTCAGCCTCATGCCTTGTTGGTGTCACAAGGCACGTTGGCTCTTCCTGAGATCTGATGTGAGATGTTTAGCAGTGCTGAGTGCTGGACTCAGAAGTATGTAAGGGTCCAGTCACCTCACTCACTGTACCAAAGAACTCTGCAGACCTATCAAAGCCCATGTTGGTTTGGCTCTGGAGAGGGAGCTACCAAAATTGCTAACAGGTATTTACATCCATATTTAATTGCAGCATAAAAATTTTTATAGTATGATGACAGAAAATGTTACAATCTACTCAAGTCTTGAGAAAATAATCTTAGGCAAAGAAAAAATGGTGCCTTCTGCAGAGTACTTGAAAACTGCTGCCACAGTTATTTCCTTAAATCCATATATTAATTTAGCTACATAGTCTAATATCCTCTTGTAGCCCAGAAATTGAACAAGCAAACCAGATTATTCTTCTCCCTGATGCTTTGAAAAGGGTGTAAAGAAGTTGATGTGACATGTGTCCATTCTTTGTTAGGAAGGAAGAGTTTTAAAAGCTTGTGTTGAAAAAGAACAAGAAATTTCTGGTCCCTGGCTGACATTCCTGTATATCAGCTGTTTTTAACAGATTGCTCCCTAATGGCATTACAGTACTTTAATACCTGGCTTGAAGAGCTTGTGAAAGGCAGGTGACTCCTGACCTTTGTTCTGGCTGGCCCTCGAGTGAAGAAGTTATAAGGTCTCAAATTGAAATAACCCTTGAATTCCCAAATGTACTGCAAAAATTAAGCAAATTTGCCACAGATGCAGTCTGTTAATTATGCCAGTGGCCTCCTTGAGATTAAATAAAAGTCAGGCTTATGATCTTGAGGCAATTGTCTGGTTTTGGTTACACTGTTGAAAGCTGGAAAAAATTCACTGATTTTTGCAGAGTTACTGTCAATCTAGATCAATATAGATGGAGCAGAGTCTGAGCCTCTTGCATCTTTATGTGATACATGGATTTCAAGATATCATGCTTTTCCCTATTCTGTTCTCAGGGAGCTTTAGGAGCAATGTTGGTCTGCCTTATCTGCCTGTCATGTTAGACTGATGGCTGCTCTAGCAACTGACAACTTCCATATCCCAAAAAATTACCTCAGAGGTGTCAGAGATTATTTGTCATCATCATCAAGGCTGAAGGATTATGTGCCTGTTGTTTAAAGTTCCTTTGAGGTGGACAATTCACACTGCTATTTCCATCTCCAGAAAGATCTCATAAACCTGGAACAGCCTGGACAACAGGATGGCAGTTTACAACCCTGAGCAAGCACGGGGAATGAGTGCAGAAACCCTGTGCCACAAGGCCAGTTTTGTGGAGGAAAAACAGGACAATGACAGATCAATGTTCTTCATTCACGTTGGGGGAATTTTTTACTAATACATTCCAGGAAGTCTTTACTAATACATTCCAGGAAGTCTATCACAGGGAGCATCACAAGTGTGCATGTGCCACGTTGAAGTCCATCTTAACCGTGTATCTGGAATCCATCTACTGAGATAGATGCCCACTGTGTGGGAGAAATTCTTGGGTTTCCTAGATACATCCAACCCTTCAAAAGCTCTGTGAGATTTCTCCTTCCAAGATATGTTTGTTGCCCCTTGACCACAAGGGACTGCTGCTCCGAGGTCTTCTCACCAGCTGCACTTGCTGCCATGTCTTCAAAGCCAGGAATTCTTGTGCTGTTCACAGCTGACATTGCTGGCCCAAAAGCTTTTGCTTTTAGCATTTGGAGAGCTGTGAAAATGAAATTACTCTGTTGCCTACACTGGCCTTGTTGTACTAGTCTGCAAACCTTGTACCTCACTGTTAGAGGAGTTTTCTTGGAAAAATAGCTTTTCTCTTTTGAGCTGTGCTTATTACTTCATATTTTTTCTATTGGAAAGCAATTACTGTTTTTCCACAGAAGCTGGGCTCCCAGTTGTCCTCTCCCACACTGTTGGAGAGAAACAGAACAGGCTTTTCCCCCTCCAGTCAAAAACTGCAACAAATTTCATCATCTTGTGGTGCAGCATTTGGGAAAGGGATAGAGTTTAGCTAAATATTACTGGTTGTTTCCTTGTGATAGAAGAAAATGTGGGAAGGGTCTTGGCTATGTCTGGATTTTTTTTTCTTGTCCTGGCATTGCTTTCTAGGTTGTCAGTGGAACTTTAAAACTGCAGGTTAGGATAGTCATTACTGTTGGCGTCCTTGTCTGCTTGAATGCTTGGGGTTTGGTGCTGAGGAACTCCAGGAGCTCAGTCTGACCTCACTCTCCCCTCTCTATTCTCCCTCTCCTTCCCCTCCCTGTCCCACCAATACATGACCACAAATGATTCCTGAAACTTCTGCATGCAGCAGCGTACATATGTGAGATGTTTGTGGCTTCGTGATGATCTTAGCTCAAAAGCAGCATCTTGCAAATCCTTCTGCCCTCACCTCAGCTGCCCATGGCCTTGGTGGGTGTTTGCACTGGGTGGGCAGCAGTGAGGCTGTCTGAAAAGTCACAGGGTGGGCAGGCAGAGTCAATCCTGGGGTGCAGCATCTCCTCGGGACACCCCAAAGTTCCCTGCACAGGGGGTGAGGCAGTGTCACACTTCAGTGCTCCCCCTTGGGAGCTTCCTGCTCCAGCTGCAGCCTCATTACTCCGTGCCCTCTTGCAAGGACACTTCTTTGGGGCTTAATTCTAATCCTTCTCCTTTGTGTATGTTTTCTGCAGGGAAAGAAGAAGAAGAGGAAAAGGGATAAGCAGCCAGGAGAGACCAATGGTAAGTAAAGACAAGTCTAAACCTCTTGCTTAGTGGAAGTGTGGCAGTCCTGGTGTGACCCTTATAGGTACGGGGGAGGTGGGCACAGGTCTCCTGGCCTCAGGGGAGCCAGTCCCTATGCTAGACAGCTTTTTATTTTTTTTAAATGCACTCCAATAATTCCCGCGTTACCGCCCTTCTAAACCTAGTAACCCAGCCTGTGCATGTCAGAGCCTCCTCCTCCTCGCGCGGCACGGCCGGGTTTGTCCGCGTGGCTGCCGAGGCCGTAGCGCAGAGCCATAGCTGGAATGCCTGTGCCGTGGTTTATCAGCCGTGCGCTTCCCGCGCGCGCGTGTGTGCGTGTCCGTGTGCGTGCGCTGTTAATTTGGGCTGTCCCTGGATGTCCTGATGCATGCCTTACAGTGGTAAATCGCACCCATCTTAAATTAAGGAGGTTTGCCATTCTATATAGGAAATTAGAAATACTGCATAGGCAATCTCATAGTCGATCTTGAAGAAGCCCTAACTTAGTTTTTTTGAAGCCTTTGTATAATTTGTTCTTTTTTTTCAGAACACAGCGAATGTTTCCTAAATCCTTGCCTTTCACTTCCTCCGATTACAGGTGCTAACGTCATTTTGAGTCATTTAAAATAGTTTATAAACTGCTTTTTAATTTTTTTTCCTGCCATTATAGATTTTAACATTAAACACTTATGACATTAAGAAAAAAATACCATCCACACGTTTTGATAATATTTATTATCTATATATCTTTATATCTATTATGTTTGATAGTATTTTTTAATTTTGTTTTTTGTTTTTGTAACAATTGCTATTAAAACAGTAATACAGTAAAAATAACGCAAGAGTTGTACTAACTGTGCAAATTGAATATGCAGTATTTCTTTAAAGAGACTGATAAAGAATGGAAGCAAGTCAGTAATGAACCTCCTTAATCTAATGGCATTTTTCATGGCTCCCACTAAGTCTTCTCACATTAGCATGCATACGCATTTTTTTATTATTATTTTAGTTTTGTATCTTTTTTTTTCCTTTCTGCTCAAGCCTGTTCATTGCAATTCACTAGCTGTACTAACTCAGCACCTTGCCATGCTTTACATTTTATTTTCTGGCTGATACTAACATACTCATTCCGCAGTCTGCTTATTCTTATCCATTCTTTAAAATACAAATTAATGAAAACAAGTAAATTGAATGTTATTCCAAAAGCTGCATTATCCCAGGAGATATAATTTCTTTTTTTTCCTTTCTTTTTTTTTTTTTCCTCTTATTTTGTACCTGAGTTGAAGAAAAAAGCATGTTCAGGATCTAACTTCCATACTCAGCTTCTTTTCTTCCTTTTCCCCCCCTCTTAAAAAAAAAAAAACAACAAAAAAGAAACCCCAGCCCAAATCAATCTTGCCTGAAACATCCTGCTAGACCAACCACAAAGACTTTCCTCTACGTGCTCTCTTAAAAGGGAAAGAAACAGTCCTTTATAAAGGGATACTGCAGCTTTAATTGCAACAGCTAATCTCAAGAGTTGAATAAAAATGTAATTATCACTTTTTTTAACTTTTAAATCAAAAGTCAATATTTGCAATTAATAACAAGGACATTGATTTTTATTCCCTTTTTTATTTTTATTTTTTCCTTATTTTTACCTTTCTCTTTTTTCTCCCCTTTTCTCTCTTCCTCTCTCTCTCTCTCTCTCTCTCTCACTCCCCCCTCTCCCCTTTTCTTTTTTTCCTCTCTCCCTTTTCTGCTCGCTTTTCTTGAACTCATTCAGACCTGAGCGCTCCTAAGAAATGCCGAGCGCGCTTTGGCCTTGATCAACAGAATAACTGGTGCGGCCCCTGCAGGTGTGTATAGTTTTCCCAGACTCGCTATGGCTGATTTGCAGCTGGTTTATTTGGTACTTTCCCCTTTTTTTTCCTGCCTTGTTGCTTTGTAGCTCTGTGTTGTGATCTAGAAGACACAAGGGAGTGGGACACTGCCATCAGTAATCATCTCTCCGAAAGGGTTTTGCTTTTTTTTTTTTTCTTTGTTGGTTGGTTGGTTTTTTTTTTTTTGCCTTCCTCTTTGCTGCTGCTAGCCAAAAACCCACTGTAAAACAGCATCAACCTTAAGCCCATCTGATCCGTGGCTCAACCACGCTCCTGCCTTCCAAGCCTCCACCCAAGGACAGTGGCTCCCAAAGCCCTTGATAATGCGGCACTGAGTGCGGTACCCACACCACACAGGCTCGTGGCTGTGTCGGAGATTTTTTTTTTTTGGTTTTCCTTTGGCTCGATGTGAAAGTCCTGTTTTCCTTCCTGCCCTTGGTACGAGGGGAGATTACCAAATAAAGCGGAGGTGATTGCAAGCTGAACGTAGCTGTAGCTGAGATGACGCAGACCAAATGAGCTCTATCCACCATTGTGTTGTATTTTTTGTGTTTACCTTATGCTAACAGATGCAAATACTCCAAAGAAGTGTCGGGCATTGTTCGGGCTTGACCGACAGAGTTTATGGTGCAAACCATGCAGGTATAAAACTACCCATTAGGCCTTTGGGGAAATAAAAGCAATCTGTCCTCTTAGTGCATTTGTGTGATTTTATTTTTTTAATCTTTTTTCCCCACTCCCCACCTTTCTCTCTCCCACAGCATCAATTGCTAATAATCTTTGATCTTTGGAATTTCTTGCTAATTTAATGCCATTTTCTCTCTTTCTTTACCAATAACCTCTCCCTGGTGGTAGAACTGGGAACAAGAAAACTCAAAGTCCTTAAACCTGGCTTTTTTTTTTTTGGCGATTTTTTTGTCATTTTTTCCAGATTGTCAGCAAAATTAATGTTTAGCTGGACATTTATATTTTATCTTTCATTTGGGTCTATGTCCCTACCTGCAGAGGCTTTTTAAAAAAGGTTCTGGGATCTGCAGTACTAGTGGTTTTTTTGTTATTCGAGATGTAAAAGCAAGTGTTTACAGCTTATATTGTATTCATTCTTTTGGTATTATCTGAAAAATTAAAACAGCTACCTGTTGGCTACTGTGCCTCTGTAAGGTTTATGTAGATATAATTTTTTAAATTATCTGAAATCTTTCTTCCTAATCCCAAAAATATATTTTATCATAAATTTTATCCCAACAAGTGAGCTGTAAACGTCTGAGCTCTAGACAAAACTAATTACAACTTTAGTAGCACAGTTTCCAGCATTAAAAGGAGTTGAAAGACATCAGAGAGCCCAAATTCCGGCAGCCCATGTTCTACTGGAGTTTAATTCCATGTGTAACTCAGTACGTACTTCTTTCTTGGTGGAGGGATACCGAGTAGTTCTTTTCTCATTCCTTTTTCCTTATATGATCGCATTTGGTTAAATTTGTTGTTTCTTTATTCTGATACAAGCAGTCTTTGAATTTGGAATATTATGATGGTAGGTATTTCAACCCAAACCACACTCTGTGTGTAGTGATTCCTCTCCCACATTTTCCCCTCTTACTCATGCCAGTCCCATGTGCTCCATCTCATTTAGAATGTAGCTCAGATGTCCATCGTATTTTGTGTATGCACGCAGTCTTGTCTGTGCTTAGTGTCCAGGACTGAGGGTGGTGGTTTGTGTCAGTGTACCAGAGGAGGCTCCAGAAATGCCTCCTGCAGGTTGTATGTTGTCCCGTTTGAGGCATGGTATTTTGGGGTGCTGGGGGTTAGATATCAGTACCAGGACATGTGTTAAACAAGCTGGGAAAGCAGCAGTTCTGTAGTGCTTGGAGGGAGAAGGGTTCAGTCCAGAAGAGCTGTGTAGCTACTTCACTGTGTCAGGAGTTTCATGCTAGCCAAGGACTGCAGTGTTGTGTTTAGTTAGGCTCTGTTCTGTGGTTACTTTGCTGCACACTATCAGCAGATATTTGTGTAGTCTAGAGATAGAGTATGTGAAGCATGTCAGGCTCTGAATGCCAAGTACCAGAACTGGGGGCACATCATGTTTGTGTTGCTTTATCTTTTCCTGGCTGCTTAAGTAAGCAACATACTTTTAAAACTACATTTTATCAGCAAGGAAACTTTTTATTTGGTCTGTACAGTGCTTAGGTTACATGTGAAGCATAAACCCTCTCTTAACTTATACCAGATTTTGGTCAGAAGTCTTTTCAGTGCACCAGGGACAACTTCAGTGGTATAGCTGATAGTTCTGGATTACTGATTCAGAGTCAGCTGCTTCTTTTTGTTTTGGTTTGGTTTCTTGTTTTGTTTTGTTTTTTCATGCATGGAGGCATTTTACCACTAGGTGTTAGAGCATTTCTCTCCTAGTTCTGGTCCTAATCATTATAACATTGCATTTGCTAGCATGGTAGCATTCTGTAGTACACCTTAGGTAGGTGCTAAAGATGTGCAGTTTGCTACTGTGGTGAAAACTGAGACATCTTTGCCCGAAGCAACTGAATAAACCCTTGCACTCTTCTGTGGCTTTTACTCATGGCAATTGCAGCATTACAGGTTTCCTGGTGCTATTCCAGGGCTAGTTTCAAAAGCAGCAAAAGTGGTTTCAGGTCTGTTGTGTTTGCTCTACTGATGTAGCAAGTTAACACTTTCAGAGCAATGCACCAGTGAATAATCCGTATTAGTGCTTCTGAGGGGGCAATATGTAGTATTTTTGTTCCAGCCTTTTGGAGAGCAAAATTAAGGCACAAATAGTTCCTTAGATTTTTGCTTATTCCCCCTCACCAGAGCTGCCTGGTGGTCTTCATGTCTGCTAAAATCAGGCTTGCATGGTTTGGGGGTTTGCCCTCTGGACCTTTTGTCCCACTTAACCCTGACAGGTACATGACCACAGGTAACCATGGTGTGATTGGCACAGATTGCAAAAATATCTCCCCCCTTGAGCCATCGTGATTTAAGTAAATATTATTTTCAGACTACTGAGTGGCCACACTATTAAAGAGTTTGGCAAAAGAAGTAATATGCTCCCTTAATCCTAGTCAAAAGAAAATTACTTCAGGTAGCAGAGCAATGGTTTTTTTTTTTAAAGGTTGTTAGCTCTGCAGTGTCAGAAAGTCAGGTAAACCTGGTTTAAAGCTGCTTTGCCATGGGAGCTCTTTCTTTCAGGCCACAGAACATAAATAATATTAAAAAAAAATTTGAAATGCTGGCTTACTAGATTCAAACTGCCTCCAGTTCAATAATTTACTGCCCTGTAGGTTCAGAGCAGTCCAGTTAAAGGACTTTTGGACCCCCATCAATGAGGCAGGCAGAGCTTGGGTCTCTGCTTGCAAGTAATTTTAATTTGCGGATGGAAAGGAGTCCTGCAGTCTCCACATTGTAAGAGCTCATCTTTCCTTACACAATGAGCATTGGGGAACTTTGTGGAGTTTAACTGTCCTGCTTTGCCACTGGAGCTGTACAGAAGGTCCAGACAGGAACTGTGCACCTGGTAGTGCTGCACAGCTAAAGTAGGAAGCAGTGAGAGAGGAGAGGGGAGAGCAGAGCAGAACTGTCCCAAGCCAAGAGCCAGATATCTCCAGTATTGTTTGTTGATGGTAGAAGAATTAACAAGGTCTGTTTTGAGCCCACCAAATTAATTTTTTTCCTGTCTTTTAACGTTGCTCTAATAAAGCATGGTTTACAGCCTTCACTTGCTGTCTTCTATCTTTCTTTCTTTCTTTTTAACATTTAAGATGCATGGTTGTCTTTAGTTTTTAGCATGTATTGATCTGCAGGCTAACGTGGTTAAAACTCTAATAGCCCTAACCCCTTACCTTGCCATGTGGCACATGGAGCAGAATCTGAGGGCAGACCTGAGGCTCTGGAGGAAGGGATGTCACAGCACTGGTCCCTCACTGAAGCTGGTGAAAGATTGGGTACTGGGTTTGTTGTTCCCTTCCTGGCTATGAGAGATGATAGTTTTAACTCCAGGATCAAGGTAGTGTGGTCTCCTTTGCAAATGAGAAGCATCTCATTGCCTCAAGGGTGGAGCTTGGTTTAACCTAGTCGAATGCCATACCTAGGGGAGAACACTGGTGACCAGCAGTGGAACTGGGGCACCTCTTGGAGGGGGGAATGTCCCCTGGTGATGCTCAGCTGCTATGCCACGCTCAAGCACTCCCTCTGATGGAGTTGCAGAGCTGGGGTGATGTATCCACTGGAGAGGGAGAGCAACCTCCTCCTTCATGTTGGTGGCTTTGTGCAGCTTAGCTGAGCATCCAAAGTTCTCGTGGCAGAGCTGCTCCAGACAGGCTTTGTCCTATGCCTTGGTCTGTGACAGCACTTCAGCACCTCCCTTGGGAAGTGTGATTGTGGATCAGGGGGCTGAAGAGCCAGCATGCTTAGGGTCAAGGTGGCCACTGGACATCATTCTGCCAGATGCTGTGGTTGTTTGCCTCATTACTTCTGTCCTACTGCTAGAATTGTCCTGCACATACTTGGCAAGAGAGATGGTGTGAAACTGTCATCTGTTTTCATTGCTCCTTTACATTATCCAGTGGACAGAGGGAGGAGAAAAGATCTCTGTCGGGTCACTTATTTATTTGAAGATGAGCGGCTCGTCTCTTGCGAGACTCTCACATGCCCTGGTGTGAAATTAAGATCCATGTTGCTCCTCACCTTTGTACCTGTCGTCGTGCTCTTCACCTACTGAAATTGGATCCCACTCTGGAGTTACATGGATGGCCTCTCAGAGGAAAATCCCCAAAATGCAGACAAGCAGCTTCCCAAATCTACCACTCTCCCCTAAAACAAAAAGTAAAACTGAGTCGATTTAAAGCCACAACCTGCAGGCCATACAACCAGTTATTCTTGTTATTTTGGATCATACTCTGTTTTTCCCGTTCTTTTCCTGTTTTTTTCTTCTGTTTGCTTTGTTTGTTCGTTTTGTTTTTATTTCCCCTCTCTCTCGTTCTCTCTGTTATATATCCCTTCTGTCTGACTGACATTTCTGAATTTGGTGTGGTTCTTAACAGAGGAGAAAGCAATGAGCAGTAGTTTGCAGCTGATCTTGCCTCCAAAGGGCAGGGCACCGTATGACACCGCAGGTGATGCAGGTGTAGCTGTAGCCCCATTGAGTTGGACAGTGTTATGGGACATCTTGAGATACCATCAGCTATCCAGGGTTTTTATTTTAGGAGGATTAAACTACTTTTTAATATTTTTTTTCCCATGTAGGAAAGTTTAGAACAGTGGGCTCCGAAACCCATTTATCTGGTTTTCTGATTATGAAAATAAGGAGGCGGCCTGAAGAGGAGAGGGATGAAGAGACAATTAATTGGTGAATCCTTTCCAAATCTGTTAGCCGAGGGGAGATTCCCAAGCGGGTTTGGTGCTGAGGACACCCTGCCAGACCCCCAGGATGGCACGTGGGGCCAGGATGCCACCCATGCAGAGCCCAGAGTAGCTGACTGATGGCTCTTTGCTGTAGATGACTGTCTCCATCAGCGTCTCTGCCCTTTATTCATGGATAACTCTCTCCCTGTTTCTAGGAGAAAAAAAAAGTGCGTTCGCTACATACAAGGTGAAGGCAGCTGCGTCAGCCCACCCTCTTCAGATGGAAGCTTACTAGACTCTCCTCCGTCCTCCCCCGCCATGCTCGCCTCCCCCTCCAGAGACTCGAAACCACAGACTGAACAAACGCAACCCCTCTCGCTGTCATTGAAGCCCGACCCGCTGGCGCACCTGGTGATGATGCCGCCGCCATC